CACTTACAAGTTAATATTACTGTCCAAAGACTTGATATTAATGTTGTGCCGGTATCTTGGATGGGGATTGTCATTATTTGAATTTTATTGATTATGGTTATTGATGTGAGCATTCTTTTGTTTTATTTCAGCTAATGCATCTGCTGCAACAATTTCTGCTAACATCAACTCAATTCCCATGCTAAATGGGACAAACTTCAAGGTTTGGAAAGAGAACATATTAATTGTTCTTGGCTGCATGGATCTTGACTATGCATTAAGAACTGAACAACCCCAACCTCTCAATGCGGATAGCACTCCTGATGCAAAGAAGGAGCATGAGAAGTGGGAGCGTTCAAATCGCATGAGTCTTATGATCATTAAGCGCGGCGTTCCGGAAGCCTTCAGGGGCATAGAATCCGAAGGGATTACTAAGGCTAAAGATTTCCTTGCCGAAATTGAGAAGCGTTTTGCGAAAAACGATAAGGTAGAAACAAGCACGCTTTTAGCTCGCTTGATTTCAATGAAGTATAAGGGCAAAGGAAATATCAGGGAGTACATTATGGAAATGTCTCATATTGCTTCAAAGCTTAAGGCACTTAAACTCGATCTTTGTGACGAGTTATTAGTGCATCTGGTTTTGTTGTCTCTTCCTGCACAGTTTAACCAATTTAAGGTCAGTTATAACTGTCAAAAGGAGAAATGGACTCTAAATGAGCTCATTTCATACTGTGTGCAAGAAGAAGACAGGTTGAAGCAAGATAAGACAGAAAGTGCTCATTTGGCCTATGCCTCTAAGGATAAGGGCAAGAAAAGGAAGAATGATAAGGAAGCTGCTAAGGGTCCAGTTGAGAAGAAACAACATAAGGATAATCAGGGTTGTTTCTTCTGTAAGAAGCCTGGACATGTAAAGAAGGACTGTACAAAATATCACGCCTGGCGTGATAATAAGGGTACGTTCCTTGCTTTGGTCTGTTCTGAGGTTAATTTAGCTTCAGTACCTAGAAACACTTGGTGGTTAGACTCTGGTGCTACTACTCACATAAGTGTTTCTATGCAGGGTTGCCTGAGCTACCGAAAGCCAAGTGATGTTGAAAGACACATCTTTGTGGGCGACGGACAATCGGTAGATGTGGAAGCAATTGGGCACTTTAGGTTGTTGTTAGGAACTGGTTATTATTTGGATTTAAAAGATACTTTTGTAGTACCGTCTTTTAGACGGAATTTGGTTTCTGTTTCTGTATTGGACAAATCAGGTTATTCTTGTTCATTTGGAAACAGTCAATTCAGTTTATCTTTTAATTCAAATGTTGTGGGAACCGGTTACTTGAGTATTTATGACAACCTATATTTGCTTGATACAATTGCTTCTTACAATGAATCCTTGCATGTGGAATCACGTGGTACTAAGCGTAAATTAAATAAGGAAAATTCGGCGACATTATGGCATAAGCGCTTAGGTCATATCTCAAAAGGTAGAATTGAGCGTCTTGTGTCTGATGGCATTTTGGATTCCCTTGATTTTTCGGACTTCGACGTATGTGTTGAATGTATCAAGGGAAAACAGACCAAAGTGAAAAGATTAGGTGCCAACAGATCTTCGGATGTCTTAGAATTGATACATACGGATATTTGTGGGCCATTCCCTACGGAATCCTGGAATGGTCAACAATATTTTATATCATTCATAGACGATTACTCACGTTATGGGCACCTATATCTTATTCATGAAAAATCTGAGTCTCTGGACATGTTCAAAGCCTATAAAGCTGAAGTTGAGAATCAACTCAACAGAAGAATTAAAACCGTCAGATCTGATCGTGGTGGTGAGTACTACGGTAGATATGATGGTTCAGGTGAACAACGTCCAGGACCATTTGCTAGATACCTAGAGGAATACGGTATCGTCCCACAGTACACCATGCCGGGTTCACCTAGCATGAATGGTGTAGCTGAAAGACGAAACAGGACTCTTAAGGATATGGTAAGAAGTATGATTGCTCATTCTTCTTTACCAGAGTCACTCTGGGGAGAAGCACTTAAGACAGCAGCTTACATTCTGAATAGAGTACCAAGTAAAGCAGTTGCTAAAACACCTTATGAGCTTTGGACTGGTCGAAAGCCCAGTTTAAAGCATTTACATATTTGGGGATGTCCAGCTGAGGCAAGGCCTTATAGGCCAAATGAAAAGAAATTGGACTCCAAAACAGTTAGCAGCTACTTTATTGGATACTCTGAACGCTCTAGGGGCTTTAAGTTTTATGATCCCACTATAAGGAACATTTTTGAGACGGGAACAGCAACATTCTTTGAGGATGTTGAGTTTGGGGGGAGAAATAAGGTTAGAGACATTAGTTTTGAGGAGGAATTGGCTTCAGATCCAATCCATACAGTTACTTTTGACAATATTCAGGTTCCTATACCTGTTGTTGCTCAAGAAGTAAATCCGGAACCTCAAGATGATAATGTTGAACAACTCCCTGTTCCAGAAGAACAAACTCAACAACCTCAAGAACCAGTGCCATTAAGGAGATCCACGAGAGAAAGGAGAAATGCTATTCCGGATGATTATATTGTATTTCTCCAAGAACATGAGGAAAGTAGTGGAATGTTAGAAGATGATCCAATCAACTTCTCTCAGGCCATGAAAAGTTCTAACTCTCAACAGTGGATTGATGCCATGAATGAAGAGTACAAGTCTATGCAAGACAATAAGGTTTGGGAACTTGTCCCATTACCAGAAGGTGCAAAACCAATTGGTTGTAAATGGATTTTTAAAACCAAGCGGGATGCAAACGGTAATGTGGAGAGGTATAAGGCACGTCTTGTGGCTAAAGGCTATACTCAAAAGGAAGGCATTGATTATACAGAGACTTTCTCTCCGGTTTCATCGAAAGACTCTTTCAGAATAATCATGGCACTTGTTGCTCATTATGATCTTGAGTTACATCAGATGGATGTTAAGACTGCATTTCTCAATGGAGACATTGATGAGATGATCTATATGGTGCAACCAGAAAACTTTGTGTCGGGAGACCCAAAGAATATGGTCTGCAAATTAAGGAAATCCATCTATGGACTCAAGCAAGCTCCTCGTCAATGGTATCATAAGTTTCAACAAATAGTTATCTCGTTCGGTTTTGAGATGAACATTGTTGATGACTGTGTATATCACAAGTTCAGTGGGAGTAAGTATATTTTTCTGGTTCTGTATGTGGATGACATCTTGCTTGCCACTAATGATATAGGCATGTTGCACGAAACCAAGAGATTTCTATCAAAGAATTTTGAGATGAAAGATCTTGGGGACGCCTCTTTTATATTAGGGATCCAGATACATCGAGATCGCTCTCGGGGTATTCTTGGATTATCACAAAAGAGCTATATCGATAAGGTACTTAAAAGGTTTGGCATGCAAGATTGCAGACCAGGTGACACCCCTGTTGCTAAAGGAGACAAGTTTAGTCTCAATCAGTGCCCTAAAGGTAACCTTGAAATTCAGGAAATGCAGAAGATTCCTTATGCTTCGGCTGTAGGAAGTCTAATGTATGCTCAGGTATGTACGCGTCCGGATATTGCGTACATTGTTGGGATGTTAGGCAGATACTTAAGCAACCCTGGTATGGATCATTGGATAGCAGTCAAAAGGGTTATGAGGTATCTTCAGAAAACAAAAGATTACATGCTCACATACAGAAAATCAGAGAAATTAGAGGTCATTGGGTATTCGGACTCTGATTTTGCTGGATGCCAAGATAGCAGGAAGTCTACATCAGGCTACATTTATATGTTAGCAGGAGGAGCTATATCATGGAAAAGTGTCAAACAAACACTAGTAGCTTCCTCCACTATGGCAGCAGAATTTGTAGCTTGCTATGAGGCATCCAATCAGGGAATATGGCTGCGAAATTTTGTCACGGGACTGCGCATTTTGGAAAATGTTGAAAGACCACTAAGGCTATATTGTGACAATAAATCTGCAGTAATGTATTCCAATAACAACAGGAGCTCAACTAAGTCAAAACATATTGACATTAAGTTCCTGGTTGTGAAAGAAAGGGTACAGAGTGGACAGATATCCATAGAGCACATTGGGACAAACTCCATGATAGCTGATCCTCTTACTAAGGGATTGCCACCTAAGGTCTTTCATGAGCATACTGCTCATATGGGTGTGGTATTATTTGAGGATATTATGTTTTAGTGGGAGTTTGTATTTGTGGTGCTTTATGTTTGGTTGTATTGTCTGATCAGAATAAAGTATTCAGTTAAGACACTCTGTTACATTATGTTTGGTTTTGACCTCACTAAGGAGGACCAGTTGAAAATAGACATGTACTGATCACATTGCATGTAATTTTCATGCTGCACATCCATGATTGATCTATGTCATTTGATTGTATTGATATATGTGACCATTGATGGGTCGAGTCACGATAAATGTGACGAAGGCCGCTTTGATCCTATATTGATATAGTCAATGGACGAGATTGTTCGGAAATATCATTTCAGTGATAGCAATTTTTGAGCTCATAATGTTATACACAGTTTAAGGAATCATATGGTGCCCAAGTGGGAGATTGTTGGATTTAATCTAATAAATCTATTTGTGGGCACATATGATTAAACAATGTGTATTGCTATCTTTCAGGATAACCCACTAAAGTGATCAATTAAGTTGGGTTAATTTGGTATTTAAATGATCATGGGGTCATATGTGCAGATACCAGGTTGTAATTGTAATTTATTGAGGGGCTAAATTACAAAAGTACAACATCTATAAATAAGGGGTTATGGTCCCTAACCTAGGGTTACATTCTCTAATTCTCTTCACCCCCATCTAAGAGAGAAATTCGGATTTTAGAGGAACCCTAAGGTTAGAAGATCATCAAAAACCCAAATCAAGATTTCATCCATGGATTCAGGTATAAGCTTCCGCTCTTTTGATTATTGTTAATCTCTTTGAATTAATCATGGCTATATGGTTTTAGATCTCAAGTTTTGATGTAGATCTAACAAAATAAGCAGTAAAAAATTAAATTAACTTTATGAACATTCAAACCAATAGGTAAACAAACAGGCAAACTTTTCCTCTTACAAGTTTCGAGGGAATTAACAGAACTTTAAAACGCTAACTAAACTTTTTCCTTAGAAGTCCATCAACTGATCCGACAAAAGCAAACACGCTAATAATCAAGCATCCGTAACAGAACATCTGAAGCAAAACCTTTTTCCTCGTCCGAGAAATCAAATTCCTTTGCACGAAATACATCTGAACAGGGAAATAAATAGAGCTCGGCCAGAAACTGAAGGCGCCCAAAACTCCCAGTACTTGGTTGAAGTACGGAAAAAATATCGTGACCATTGTCGTCGAGATCACGTAGAGAGTTCTATAGCATAATTTCAGGAGATTTGTTCTGTAACTTGGTAAGAATGGGAGTTTGATAACATAGAAATCGTTCACATATCCGTTATTGGGGAACCTCTCTGAAAGCCATGCATCCACTAAAGCATAGACGGGCTGGCTGTATACCTAGTAGACCATAAGAATTGTTTAGTTCTTTGCTATTTGTATCGAAACCATGTTACATGTAAATGACAAATAACTAAACTGGGAAAAAAATTTTTATGAATAACGATTTAGTTATTTGTCGATTACAGATAGGGCCAGGGGTCTAGCGAGAAAATTTTAAAAATTCAATCGGCGTTTTGTGAACTTTTTTCAATCTTAGTCCAGTTGTGCTTTACCTAGTCGAACATTCTAACTGTGATCGTGATAGAACGAGAGTTTAGTCTCACATTAGATAGCTAGTGAAAGAGTGATAAGATGGACATATGTTACATTTTTATATGAGCATAACTCTTGCAATTATGAGGAAATATTATTGAATATTTTGATTATGCATCTGAAAACTAATCCACTAGTATATGGGCTATAATATAATACGTAGATTTTTTACCTGGTATCCTCCAAGTAGATGAATAATAATGCAAGCATTGGCGAAATCAATGATCCAGTGTGGCTCAAAGAAACCAAATCCAGTCATAAGATTTCCCGGTGTATCATTCCCAAATGCAGCGTATCCAAAACACCCACAACACAGATAGAACACTGCGGTGATGAAAACGGCGATCCTCAACGCCTTACTCATCGTCTGGTTCTCCGGTGGCGGTGACTTCAAGGTGTTCTTCATTCTCAAAAAACAAAAGTTGGAAAAAAATAACTGAATTTAATTTCTTAAAAAGGATCGAGCTGATAGAGAAATCTATAGGCAATTACCTCTATTTCTAGGAGAACTACTGAGAATGGAAATGCAAATAATATGTCTCCGACTCCTTGAGAGACTTGCGACATTTTTTGATATTTGGATGGCATGGGAACCCCTCCGATGCCTCCTTTTATTGTTCCGTTCTCTGCACAT